AGTCACAAATACTGAAAATTTGCACCTTGGAGCTCAAAAAGTATTCAATTCCAAGTAGTCTGTATTAAACTAAATCAATTAAACTTGTATGCCACCAGATTCCCAACTCTTGGGAGCTCACAACACAGAAATTACAATATAACTTGTAAAAGGCCAACAAATAAACTTGTTTTCACAGCTGTAGTAAAAATGTTGAGTCTCATGGCATTTTTACAGCTGCAGAACACTTCATCAAATGCACTAAAGAGGGAATATAAGTTGGTCTTTGCAATCCGTGCGTGTGCGCATGTGCATGCCTTCAACTCATTGTTGACTCCTAGTGACTGCTTGGACAAGTCCCTGCAGCTTTCTTAGCAATGTTTTCAAAAGTGGTTTGCCTGCTTCCTAGGGCTGAAAGGCTATGATTCACCCAAAGTCACCAGCCAGCTTTGTGCCTAAGGCAGGACTAGAATTCATTGTCTTCCAGGTTCTAGCTCAGTGCCTTAACTACTACACCAAACTGGCAATCCATTATTCAAGGATAATTATCTTGAGGATATTGACTGTTGGCAAGTTAGTTTAAAGTAAAGTACAACAGGGCAGTGTAGTTGATATTCCCCACAGAAAGAAACTGGGCAGAAGTATCTGAGTATCTCAATCATTTTTGATAATTGACTCTTGGATTGGTTTGATGTAATAGAAATTTGGGACAAAGAATTGATGCAGCTGCAGTTTTTTCTGGAGGCCCAGCTCAGATGGAAGACTTCAGCTCAACCACCATTGCTAACTTACAGTATATTGGAAGGCTCCACACTGAACCTCTGGCTATTTTAATAGCTACATGCAATCCCTGTGGTTATTTTGTGAAGTGGGGGCGCTTTTACCATCAATCAATGGCATTCAGTTCTGCATCTTCTTTTCATATCATTTGAAGAACACTGTCAAGATTCTAAATTATTTTCGAAGTGGAAAGATTCAATGTGGGGAAAAACTGAATTGTAATCCAGACAAGACAATACAGCTCTTCCTAAAGTTGAAGTTCAACTTATGTTTGGAGTAAACTCCTCTTGAAAATGCACATTAGTAATTTGGATATTTTTCCTGGAACTGGTCTTAAACCTAGATGTATGCATACTGATGGTAATCAGGAGGTCCTTTGCCCTAGAGAGGAGTGCCAGTTTTAACAAAACATCAGATTTGACCATGGTTATGCAAACTTCAATTAAATTACTTGGAGCAAGGATTCCTTGAAGAGTCTTCAGCAATTTAAGTCATCTAAAATATGACAGTCAGGTTATTAAACATTGCTACACCCAGGAAGCATACAACTCTCTCGTTTGTACAGCTGCAGTAGTTTCTAGTGTGGTACCAAGACTGCCAATGAATAAAGTTCTGTGTGATTTAGGAGGAGGCTATTAGAAAAGAACCACCGTTATCCTCTGGTATTGAAAGAGTAGCTTTAGTTCTGTTACATAGACTTTGGAACTCCTTCCCAAGAAAGATTTGTCTTGATCTCTTCCTAAAGGTCTTTCAGAAAATGGAGAAAACCTTTCTTTTCAGGAAGGCATTTGAGTTGTAATTTAATTATCTTTGATATTCATACATTTTCTGTTAATAATTCTTGCCGTTCCATTGTTATTTTTTAAAATGTCATATAAACTTGAACAAACCAGAACATACTCAGGAAAATGAAATTCACTTTTCAAGCAAATCCACATTTCTTCCTTTTGTCTTTATTTAATTCATCTTTTCACCTTTTAATTCATCTTTTCAAGGTAAATCTCTCAAGTTTTACACACGTTGATAAGAAGCAGTTACTCCTTTGCATTTCCTGAAACATGTTTATAAACCTGTATTTTAAAAAAGTACTATTTTTTATTTTTTATTCACTCGAGTTTCTCTTCATATACAAGAAAAATAGGCCACTAACCCTATTAACCTTGAAGCTTCTTTTCTAATTTACCCTCTATCATTCTTACCTTTCTGGAAGTGTAAATCAGCAGCTTGTATATGTGGCAGAAAACCAAAACAGTATCATCTGTCCTGATAAATTCAAACAGAAGACTACTACAACATTTTAAATTGATTCTTCAAAGCTGTCTCCAAGTAGAATATGTTATACTTACATAGCATAATCAAAAATTCCAAGACTATTATAGGAAAGGTCCCAGTTGGCAAGAAAGTAAATGGCATTTATGAATTCTGTCACTATTGCCCTTTCAAAAACAGATCCCTTAAAAACGATTAACCTGCTGCTTTAAGTCAACTCCATTCACAACAGATAGGAATATGTTATCTTCTAGATCCAAGAACCACCAATCAACCACCAAAATTGAGCTGGATCAGAACTATGTTATATTGTTTACCTACATGCACTTCAAAATGAATCCCAGACTTTTGGTTAAAATTTTCACTGGCTCCTCAGGTTGAATAATGAAACTTAGAGACAAAACTCTGCATCAACTGCACATTAATGAAACTTCAGAACTGTATACAAGCTGCGAATGTGAGTAGATTCAGGAACCAAAAGCTTCAACTGAGCTTGCAGAGATGTTAAATCCTGATTCAGAATGCCTGTTCTAAAATTATTCCAAGTGCATGATAACCAATATCAGAGTTCAATATCCTAAATAAACTTTATTGGAAAGCTATGATCAAACAGATTTACTATTTCATTCTTATGATATGTGCATTAGGTTGCTTCATAACAATCAAAACAGGTATGGTTATTACTAAAAAGGCTCTCAAATACACAGTAGAAATGTCCTGAAAGAAGTGCTTGCAATCATGACTGTATCCAATAACTTGCAAACTTGTTCAGCTCTAATGAACAAAAAGAGAACATTTCCTTACTTCTGAGTCTATGTACAGTTGTGTGGCAGCATCAAGTATTAAACTTTCATCATTCTTATATCCAGTTTTAATGATGATTTCAATAAAGCAAGATATGAACAACGCAATCATTAATTTAAAAGCTTACTACAGTTTTAACAGCCTGATTTCATGTTTTAATACCTTCCTCCCCAGTGTTTTCCTCAAGATTGACTCACCTTGTTCTTTACAGTTCTTTACAGTTAGATAACATTTCTAAGTTATCTAAATTGACTTAAAAATGGAACGGAAGCAACAACTTATGCACAAATAGAATTTTTCTTTTTTAATACATGAAAAAGTAAAATTCTTGAAAAGCTTCATTAATAGAATGACATCAGTTGTTGTGATCTGTTTTCTGGAAGTTTTTTTCCTTATAATCAACATACATTGTACACTTAAGATAAAGTATTTAAAAAATCCAGTTTAAGAATACAGAAAGTTGGAAAATAAGAACCACGGATCCAGGCCAACTGTCTTCACTGAAATTTTGTTTGTGTTCCTTGCTCAGTAAGATTCAACTGATCTTTTATCACCTATAATGAAACAAAACTTAGTCTAACGGGAATCAGAAGAGGTCATATGAAAAACAGAGGAATGAGGCTGTGTAGATGCAGTCATGAGAATAAGGAACTGAAAAGCACAGCCAATTATTGCTTTTCTCTAATGCACTCCATCTTAATTAGTACCATCAACAGAATAACCTTCCTGTGTAAGTTATACAGTAAAACCTTGTTTTACTACAACCTGAATGCAACAAACAACCCTGAATGCAACAGGCTGCATGCAATGGATGGAATTTCCACTGTGATTTGTCAGTGCATAACAATGCCATTACAATGTGTAACAATGCAATTTTCAATATTTGCATTAAAATATCATAAACAACATAAATCACTATAACGACATACTATACTCTAATTTAGCAAAAATTCATTTGTAATCAATATCCCTCTCCCAATCGGCAGGTTAAATTGAGGTTTCACCATAGTACAATTCCTGCAATTCCCTGCACACATTGCCGATTTTGTGATTCAACAAATGATGGCAAGAAAGAATAAGTAACAGTATTTTTAAAAAATATTAATAGTTATGTGTCAAATTTCATCCACACATACTATACATACAGTATTGTGCTACTATCACAGAACCACCGCAAATTAGTTCATAGTAATGCAAAGACTTGCCGAAAGATCAAAACAGCTGCTATTCAGAGCAGTCACAACAACCTGACCTTTCCTAACACTCTGAATTTTTCCCCTCAGAGGAAACTCGGCGAGAAAGGGGGAGAACTGCGGAGGAAAAGCGCGGTAACTGAAGCCACTTAAATCACACGAGAGAACTCTGCTCTTCCCCCTTGAGAGCACACGGGGAAAGCTATTTGGGGGGTTGACAGATGCCAAATACACCTAGAAACAAAAACACGTTTACATCAAGCCAGGAGGACTTCGACAGGACGACCATTTGCATACAACAGGACAGCCCACTAAGCCTAAATTAATTTTTGAAAAATCACGGGAAAAGAAAGGGTAGGAACCAGCCGGCGAGGGAGCGGCGCGCGCGCATCGAAGGAGCACCCCGCCGCCATCTTCGGGTGGAAACGCCGCGCTTTCTGAGCAAAATGGCTCCTTCTTCCTCAGTCGCGGAGAAACCGCCAACCC